GAAAGGAAAAATGATGAGAAATGGAAAAAATGGAAATAAAGTCTTTGTAAATAGGGAAGCGTGGAGGGGGTGAAGGGAGGGCTAGGAATGGGGAAAGAATAAGAACCAAGATGCATCATGTAAACGTACAAGTTCCCAATGAGAAATGTAATTGTGTTGTATACCTAAAATGTACCAATTAAAGAATTTAAGTAATTTAGAAAAAAAAGATACTTGGTCTAAGTATTATGTTATAGGAGCCCAAATGGAGAAAGACACCTTGCACAGTTCCACTGCAATCCTATCAGGGACTCTGGGGGCTAAGCAAAGTTACACTAAAATGAACTGCATCTTCTTCTGATGTATGTGGCTACCTTATGTCAGCCAACTTTCTATATCCATAATTAACTAACCAAAGAAATGAATCTAACCTTACATATGTATGTACATATTTTGGAAGACAAATAAATACTCTATTTTAGATGGCAAGAATAGCTCATCAGGCTGCTAGCCTAGGTAAGATAAAACTTCAAAACCAACATTGGAAAAGTCCTCATCTGTAAAGTAGAGATGAGCAGAGTACCTACACAGACTTAGATGAGGATTGAGTTGACACAGGAAAAAGTGGTTACACTAGCGCCTGGTATACAGTAAGCACTCAGTGGCCATCAGCCATTAATATTTTGTTAGACTAGAGACTAACTCTGGCCTAATTCTATGCTCAATTAGCAACATTATATTCTGATTTTTGCTATTACCTTTGTAATACCAGAAGGCAGATGACTTGGATGTGAACTCAAGAATTCCAGTTAAATTGAGATTCTAGATTTTCATAGTTGAAGACCAGATCTCTGAACTGTGGCTTTCAATGGTTCTGTATATTCAGGAGGTATTTTTGATTATCACTATGACTGAGCTAATGGTATAATTTAATGCCTGGGTGACAGACATGTTACCTGAGGTCAGTCCTACACAAGAGAAAACTTGCCCAAAATGTCCATAGTCCAACTGATAAGCACTGCCCTAGACTAAAATGATTCCACAATAGTAGTTACCTTCAAATCCTAGGTGGCCAGCTGGGCCACTGCTGGACTTTACCTAAATACAGTACAATATCCCATTTTTCTTATAATTATCTGCAGTTTCATACCTGTTAATCACTCTATCTGCTGTTCCTGAGAACCCTACCAATTAACTCAAATGGTATGTGTTACAGAAGAGGCCCTGTTGTTTCTGAGATTGGGTCACTGATTCTAAATAAAATCTTCTCTCAACACTCCAGGGAGGGTCAGGGGTCTGGCCAACTGAAGAGATTCTTCAAGGAAGAGGCTATGTAAGATTTATGAAAAACCATAGCAAAGAATTGAACTACCATACTCACATTTGTGAGATCTTCAAAAGCTGATCTCTTTTTGAATGTCCTCTGAGGTGAGGATGGAGATATTTTTGCTTGGTAATTCTCTCCCATCTGAAAAAGTAAAAGAAGTAAATGGGAGGAAAAAAATGGAAATAAAGCTTTTGTACATAGGGAGGAGAGGGGACTTGATGGGGAGAAATGGGATAAAATAAAATAAATTTTTTTTAAAAAGTAAATGGGTATATCTAATAGTGAACAGTCAGTCCCCTTTCAGCAACTTTGGGTCATCTTCAGGGCTTGGGAAAACTGGGAATATACACACCAGATCCCATAAACTACAACGAAAAGATATTCTGGCACTCAGAGCTTCAATGATGATGGAAACAAGACTGTTAAAGATATAAGATTACCTTTAGTGTAACTTTCAGAATGTGCACTATAGGCTGGGGAGGGTAATTTTTCCTCTAATTCTTCTCATATTTATGGTTATTTATCATATTATCCAAAGCTAACCACCATGACTCCTAGTCATTCCTTTAATATGGGTGTTTTCAGGTAAATGTGTTTAATGATTTCAGAAATATTTAAGCAGGACTTAGGTTAAAGTAGCTGATTTAAAACAACTCTAATAAAGATAACAGTACACATACCTAGATATTAGTCCAGAATCAGCTCTTTATTAATTGTTGACTTTGGACAAGCTACTTTATCTCTGAGCCCCAATTTTCTTATCAGTAAAAATGAAATGTTAACTACTTTACAGACTGTTTAAGAATTAAAAAGAGAATATATTTTTTAAAAGTCTAGCAGGAAATAGTAATACATGCCTGTAATCTCAGTAGTTGGGAGGCCGAAGCAGGAGGATTGCCATAAGTTCATGGCCAGCCTGGGCTACATAGTGAATTCAAGGCTAGCCTGAACTACATAGGGAGATCCTGTCTCAAAAACGAAAAAAATTCTATACGAACTATAAATGAACAGAAATAGTATTTTAAAAATATGTAGCCTGAAATGACTATAAACCTCACAGGAAAAGTTTTGTGTTTGAAAAAATGTCTGGTAATCCATATTAATCTCTAATTGTTAGTGAACATAAAGGAGGGAAGGAGAGAGAAGTGAATATGCTAGAGCAGAGGGGGTTTTCTTTCTACCTACTGTTTATCTATGTATGACTTACCCCACTCCCAAAGGAATAAGATCATCTCTATGAGGTTCGAAGTTACCACATTGTAAGGCTCTTCTATTCCCTAACCGCTTTTATTTGGTGAAAGTCTAATTCTCAGACCTCCCTTAAGAATTCCTGAGAACAAACCCTGCCTTCCATATATTAGACAGTTCTTACTATGTGAAGCAGGACACTGAGACCTGACCATCTGCTCTGTTCTCCAGGTACTCACCCCATTGATGGTTAGTACATAGTACAATAAGTTGTTAGAAATTTAGAAAATTGGATTCACAACACAACAGACAATTCCAGAAATCCTGAAGATCTGAAAAGAATTACTTCTGTGTTCTAACTGGCTAAGAAATAAGTAAATATTAGTCTTTTACCTTGGTCATGATAAATCATCCTAATAGAAATAAAACATTTTCTCACAAAAATGAAATATTTTCTCACAAACTACCTAAATAATAAACTGTTGTCCAATTCCCACTTAATATTACTGGCAGAGATAATTGGTCCAATATATAATTAATACTGGAAACTGAATGCATAAAATTTAGATTTGCAAAATGTGCTCCAAAAAGTTGGGTTGGGAAAAATAAATGTCACAAAAGAAAACTTAATGAAAGAACTCCAATTAGAAAATTTTATATGGACAAAAACTTGATCAATGTATCAAATTTTTCCTCATAATTTACATGGGAAAAATATTTGAGCCTTCCATGAAAATAATTTTAGTGAAAATGATTAGAAAATATTTCTCTGCATGAGAAAAAAACCCAACCAAAAAAACTAAATTGGCCTAGTGGTGTTTGATCTGGGAAACACTCTCTTGATAATTTACCAGTATTAACGTAATTCAAGTTAAAATATATATGGCAGCTGGGCATAGTGGTGCACACCTGTAATCCCAGCATTTGGGAGGCTGAGGCAGGAGGATCACTGCAAGTATGAGGCCAGTCTGGACTGCATAGTGAGTTGAAGGCCAGCCTGAACTACAAAGTGAGACTGCTTCATAAAAAAGTATGACAATGAACATGGAATATACCAGGGTCAGAATGACAATGTCAAACTATCCCCAAGGTCAAAACAGCACAGTCAAAATGTACTCACATTTTTCAAATTTAGTACAGGTTGATCATTATTTATTTGAAATACTTGGGACTAGAAGTGTTTGGGATTTCAGATTTTTTCAGATTTTCAGGTATTTGCATATACATAACAAGATGTCTTGGAGAATAAGACCCAAGTTTAAACACTAAATTCATTTATATTTCATATATATACACTTTATACAATTGGCCTGGGGTAATGTTAGTGCATCTATAGTTTGACTGTGACTCTGTCATAGGAGATGAGGCATGGAATTTTCCATTTGAGATTTTCAAATTAGAGATACTCAACCTGTATCTGTAAAAACCATGATAATGTATTTGTTGATACAATCTTCATATTAGCCCCAAGATGCACAGCCTTCTGGTAAGATGCTTGGTGCTTCTCAGAGAAAGTAGGAGTGATCATTAATGAGGACTAGATATTGTTTGGTTTTTAAAGTTGTGGAGGGTGGCCTTCATGTGAGTCATGTATTTACCAAAGAGTTCACTCTTTCTTTCCAAATTCTAACTTACTTATATTTTCCACCTACAAGGGCTGCCACCTCTTCACGATTTCTCAGATTAATCCAGACATGCTGGTATTTTAAAACAAGCATGGGTCCTACAAGGGAATGTAATCATTAGGTATAACAAAAGTGTACCAATAAAAATAATTAAAAATAAATAGAATATGCAAGGCTGAGGAAAGGTCATAAGCCAATGTACAGAGACTCCATGAGACACTAGTGGGAAAGACAGCTTGCTCTAACCTTCTTGGATTGGCTATGATCGCTGGGCACAATTTTGCTGGACTGAAATTTCTTAGTCTCAGGCTTGAAGCTTTGGGGTGGCAGTGGCATCTCTTACAGATTCAGCAGTGTCTTGTCCCAGGAAGGGCTGCAATCAGAAAATAACTCTTTAAAACAAAATTCACAAGAAACATCACAAAATTCTCTGGAAACTTTTGAAAAACCTCAATTTCTCTATAGCATCCCTCGGAGAAAACATACTTTGAGGTTGGGTGGATCTGGGTTCAAATCTTGGTTACGTCACAACCTTGGGAAAGTATCTTAAACTCCTTGGGATTCAGCTGTCTCATCTGTAAAATAGAAATAAGTATATCTAGTTCTACAGTTAAATGAGATACTCTATGTAAAAAATTCCACACAGTGCCTGCCATTCTATATAGGCACTGGGACTGTGGCTTAGCATCTAATTTAGGCTTAGGAAAACTAGTACACGTTAACATGACAATTTTGCATTGAAAACAATCAAGTATACCATGACTCCTACAGTATGGAGGTAGAGTTAATGTTCTTTAAAAAGGCATAGGGTTTTGGCCACAGCGATTAGAATGATGCTACAGAGAAGACAAGAGAATGACTGCATACACTTACCTATGCATGGTAGGCCAGATATTATTCAAAGGCTGTGTTCAATCAGAAGAAACTATAATCCAATTCAAAAGACAATAGTACAAGGATCTAAATTGCTGAAAATTATTTGTCGTAAGAATTTAACGTTCATTACATCCCTTAGAAGAATCCTTTGCCCATCTCAGTATGGGTCCCTATCTTATATTCCTGAAGATTCTTTCAGTGAGTCCTCAATAGTTAGAATATACACCTGTATCTTACAAGCAAATACTTTGTTATTATAAGTAGTCATTGTTTGAATAAACAAGAGACACTTTACTCCCAGATAGAAAGGGTCCTTCCAAACCCATCTACATTCAATTTTCAAATTCATTTGACAAAGAACAGGCTTCCCTAAGAAAGACCCTCAAGGCAATGCAAACTCACCTCTATGTAAGGGATGCTTTAGGCAAGAGACACAAACATACATAAAACATGGCTCTTATTCTAGAAATATCTATATGTACAATTCTAACATTAACATAATAACATGACAAATGAAACTGGCATGATGGTGCATGCCTATATTCCCAGAACACTGGGAGGCTGAGGCAGGAAGGGCTGAGGTAGGGGGATCAAATTCAAACCCAGCCTGGACAACTTAATGAGATTCTGTCTCAAAAATTAAAAGGAGGATGGGGGGCTGCGGATTTAGCTCAGTGCAAAGGTCCTAGATTCAATCCCTAACCTCCCCCCCCCACACACACACATACAAACAATAACAAATGGTTTAATAGAGGGAGATACTTGTTATGGACCGAATGTTTGTGTCCCTTGCAAAATCAATGTTGAAATTCTAACATTCTAACCCCCAACAAGATGGTATTAGCAGATGGGGGCTTTGGGAGGTGATAAGAACAGACCCCTCATGAATGAGATTAGTGCTTTACACAAGACCCCAGAAAACTCTCTTGCTCCTTCCTGGCATATGAAGATACAAGAAGATGGTCATCTATGAACCAGAAAGCAGATCCTCACCAGACACATAATCTGCCAGCATGTTGGTCTTACACTTTCTAGACTCAAGAACTGTGAAAAATAAATGTTTACTGTTGAAGCCATCCAGTCTGTGGCACTTTATTATAGCAACTCAAGCTAAAACAGTACTATAGATAGATAATGGAAAGTCAGAGGTAGAAGAAGGCATACTAGAGGAGGTAACATTTGATCTGGACTTAAATGACAGAGAAGTTCTGAGTAGACTGAGAAGCTTCCAGGCAAAAGCCCAAGCCCAGAAAGAGGTGTGAACAAGCAGAATTCAGGGACAATCCAGTTGTTTCAAGTATGAAGCATAAAAAATATATTGAGAAACCATTAAAATGGAGCTGAAATGCTAGGTTGGGGCCAGGATGATTAGAAAGGGAAGCAGAGAAGACTGTGGCTTGAGAGGAAGGCTTAAGAAAGAAAAAAAGCTGATTGGGGTTTTGCTTTAGATGGAGAAGTATTAAACATTTTGTAGGTGAAGGGAGGTCTGTCCAAGTACATGGCTTCACATATATTACTTCAGTTAAATCTCGAAACAAAACCATAAGGGTAACCAGGACAGGTACGATGCTCTCTTATGGACAAACTACTATGCAACACAGACCACCCAGCTCTTTCCAAAATACCAGTTTCTCAGATCACACTCAAAAACAGTACAAAAAAGTGAAAAGCTGTAGGGTTAGAAAGTAGAATGGGCATAGGTTTTAGAGTTTGTACAGCCAGCTTCTAAAGCAGCTAACTTAGCATTTCTTAGCCTTGGTTTTCTCATTTTACAAAACAAGTACACCACATGTAAACAGGAGTCATGTGACTCAAATATAAATATGCATATACAAAGCACACATGGTAGGCACTCAATAAATAGCATGTTACTGTCCTTCCCTTCCCTCAGATGAAAACCTATTTTCCATCTCATCCCTCAAAACTCAGGCAAGCCGCAATAAAGCTAAATTGGGTGCACCCACTCTTAACTACACTGTTTGAAAACTACTTACACTATTATTATTCCTGTCTTGTACAACTTTTTAAGGATGACCAAAGACATGCTCTGACACCTTTACCTTTCAAAGGGAAAGCAGAAATCTGGAATCAACATGTTAGAAAACTCTCAGCTGACAACATCACAGATGAATTAAACTTCAAAGAAAATAAAGGTATTCAGATGATGATCATATACCACATTCACTATTCTGAACACTAAACACTTGCTTTGGGGGGGGCGCACACACTGACTTAGGTAAACTAATTTCTCTGCTACTGGGAGTAGAGGAAGAGGAGAGATAAACTGACACCACCACGAACATTCATAAAAGGACACTCAGACTTCTACCCTGAGTCTTACTTGGACAAGAAAATTAGAATCCTTTCCCTTTTCAGACTTCCATCTCCCCTATGCACACACTGATAATTATTGAAGACTACTGGGCATCCTAGGGCTGATGCTGTAACTCACACAGTGCAACAGAGCTAAACTGATCCAAATAATCTACAGGGGGAGTGGTAACTTCATTTTATATACAAAGGCAAGTTACATATGGCAAAGCAGTGGAGAAAGAATGCAACGTTGTGTCAAGGAAAGCAGCAGCAACAGGCTAGGATGGATTCTTTGGGTCTAGTTCTGGCCCTGCCCCCAGCTAGCTGAGTGAAACTGAGCAATCTGGGTTTCGGTTTCCCCACCCAATAAAATGAGGCAATGGGACCAGAGTTTCCTCCACACTAAAAAAAAAAAAAAGTGGTCAGTGGAAATGCAACATTAGCATCACCTGGGGGCTCATTAACGCTTTAAAATCTCAGGCCCCAGGCTAGGCCTATCAAATCTTAATCTGCACTTTAAGAGGCACCAGTCTAGGTTTCCTTCGACCTCTGAACTTCTAGGATTCTAAGTGGACTTCAGCAGAAGGTTGTGGGAAAGCCAGAGCTGAGTAGAAGTAACCCAATGGAGAATAAAAAAAGATAACAAGGGAGAGGACATGCTTCCATCCTTCCTTCATGGCCTTCAATCTGTGGTTCAAAAGATCCTTCAAGTAACATTCTCTGACTTAAAAATGCATCTGACCCCACTACACTTGTAAATGAAATCGATCCTGCAACACTTTCACTTTGAAAGACCTTTTGTAAAAACACTCTGATTCAGGCACGTGGATTGGCCATTCCTTCTAAAAGCTGGGACCTAATCTTTTCTTTGCTATCTCACCCCCTCACACATTCACTCCCTGCCCAACCTTGTACAGGGTTCACTCCGTAGACTGCGGACTGCCCAGGGAAGGAGACAAAGGTTGTAACGGGGGTGGAGGGATGCCCACGGACAGAACGGCAGGCAACAGAGCCAGACACTCGAGCTGGTAGTACAACCCAAAGGCGCCTACCTCAAACCGAGATTGAGGACAGAACAGGAAACACCAAGACGCAACCCTAGACCAGGAGACACAGGGAAAAGAACAGAGATCCGTGCCCCTGCCGTAGCGACCGGACTCCTCAACCTGGTTAGTGCGCTCTCCAATCGGCCCAGATTTTGAAAATTACAGCCCCAGGAAGCGCAGTGGTGATTGGCCAGCAGAGGACCAATCAGAGTACACAGTTACTTTGTTCCCCTCGCAAGGGTTTTGAAGCTGGGTAGTTTTAAACTGAACTCCGTGGCTAAGGGACTTTGTGTTGGGGCGTGGTTTTTAGTAAACTGGCCGGACCAGGTCTTTCTAAAACACACGTTTTAATTTAAATAATCCTACTGGCGGATGGGGAGAAAAGAGCAGCTGAATAATGTGATTGCAGACCAATCAATTAACATTAATAACGCCTTTTAGAATCAAACATTAACTCCTGCGAGCTTCACAAATGGCCTTATGAGGGAAGCAGGGCATCAGTTATTGCCCTTATTTTGTGAATGAGCACTCAAAAGCGTAGGGAGGTAATCAAAGTCAAGATTAATTCAGTACTACCTCTGTGCTAAATGCTATAAAAATTTTATTGCTTTAAATCCTACACAAAAGATAGGTAATTTTATTGCCATTTTACAGATGACAAAATTATAGCTTACTAAATGCTCAATATTACAAAGCTACATTGTGGCAGAGAATCTATTACAATCCAGATATACTCATTTATTTCATTCATGAATTAATTCAGTTTAACAAATACTTAATGAGCACCTGCTTTCTACCAGGAACTAGAATATATCTGTATCTATATATCATATAGATACAGATATATAGATATGTGGAACTGACAAATTTGTAGAATTGATAATCCTACTTTATCCTCTGAAGAGGCAGAGTAAATGGAGATGCCATGAGTGTAATCTAGAAGTTCCTACATATACAGCAGGCTTTCTACCACTGAACCACGTTCTTACCTTTATTTTTAGCCCATTCTCCTTTTAGTCTCTTACAGCCTCTACTTTAAAGATATTTGTATGAGGGAAGATTATTAAAGAAGAGGAAGGGGATGAGGAAGGGAGGAAGAAAAGGGGGTAAACGATCAAACTATGGTATATCCAAGTATGAATAAACCAAAATGAGACCCATTGGCTTGTATAGATAATAAGCACTAATAAAAATATAGATATTCATATGATCCCAGGTTTTCTTCTATTTTTAAATCTCCCTAGATTATCTCATCTAGATCCAAGACTTTAAATATAAAAGCTGGCCCTATCACTTCTCAGCCTTTCAGCTAAGGCCTAGTATCTAAAAGCTGTCCCTAAACTCCAGCTTCATACCTCCAAATGACTACTCTACTTTTCCACTTGTACATCTAATAGACATCTCAAACTCAACATATTCACAATAGAAGTCTTAATAATCAACTCCTTCCCCAAACCTGATCCTTCTCTCCATGTCCCGAATTTCAGAAACTGACACCACATCAAATCTTACTCAAGACAGAAAACTGGGTATCATCTTTGATTCAAAGTCCTTTTCATCACCTTACCCTTCTATATCCAATCCTTCAGTAAGCCCTGTTAATTTTACCTCAAAATATATCTTATAGTCATCTACTTTCCATCCCTGCTGTCACCTAGTCTCTCACTTGGTGCACTATCAAGAACCTCCAAACTGTTCACCCCCTTCCCAATCTTACGCGTCTCTAATACAAATACAACACGACAACAAGAGCAACCTTTGTGAAAAAGAAAAGTAGTATCCTGTCCCTCTTTAGATCCAGTAGTTTCCCATAGCACTTAAAGCAAAATCCATACTCCTCGCCCTGGTCTATAGGGTCCCTCCTACCATCAACTATTCCATTTTTCATTCACTCCACTTCAGCCATAATGAAATTCTCCCTCTCTCTCTCTCTACTTTTTTTTTTTTTTTTGGTCCTGGGGATCGAACTCAGGACCTTGTGCTTGCAAAGCCAGGCAGGGTGCCGCTGAGTCAAATCCCTGGCCCCCTGGCTATTTTTTTATTTTTTATTTTGAAACATGGTCTCTCTAAGAGTTTGAGCCCAGGCTGGGCTCAAACTTGCAATCTTCCTGTGTCAGCCTCCTAAACTAATGGGATTATAGTCATGTACCACTGCACTCAGCTCTCTCCATTTTTTAAGTTGCTAGATTTTTCTTAAAGTTTGTTTTACCTTAAGAGACATTTCTTAATCATGTTATCTAAAGGAAAATTCTCCTCCCACTCTACTGTGAAACTGTATCTGTATCACTATTTATACCTTTGTAAACATCTCCTCACTCAGGAATTTGAGGTCCATAATGGCCAGGACCATATATGTTATGCTCTATCTCAAAGGATTTAGCACTAATAGTAGCTCACTTTTATCAGTTGCTTACTATATGTATACAGTACTAGCACTTGCAACAATCCAATGAGGTATTAATAGCCTCATTCTGTAGATAAAGAATGAAAAGCACAGAAAAGTTTAGTAACTTACCCAAGATCACACAGCCAGTAAGTGATCAGTTTGGGATTTAAACACAATCAGAATGATTCCAGAGACCAAAGACATAAGCATAACCCCCTATACCTGCCTCCTTGATATGTAATTAGAAAATATTTGTTAACTAAGTAAATGTATATTGTCCTGTAAGTCATCAATGGAGACAAGTGTCCCACCAGGATCCACTATGAAAGCAGTGCAATGTCGGTATGAGTCACCACAAGTCTTTTTTAGTCAAGAGGGAAGGCTCATCCACCAATCAACAGCAACACAAAAATTGTAAAAGTATTAATTTTATTTTTCCTATTTCTTCTTAGCCTTTAATAAAAACAAAAATGATATTGAGTAAAAGTTGCGGCTTTTCTAAATCTTTAAATGTATTTTCCTCAGCCTTCACACTTCCAATTGACCTAACCTTTCCCTTGCATAGAATCCCAAAAGAACACTGAGAAAAGAAGAGACAGCCCTTCAATGCCAGTTTTCTAATGTTTCCTTTCTCCTAGGTATACAATGCACTCATAAATGGTTGCATTTCAAAACCTGATAGAAAATGCCTATTACTGTCTCACTTTTACATGAAATTATGTTCCAGATGAATCCAAGATTTTAATTGTGAAGACTTTTGGAGGCGTTCTTGTGGTCTTCTATATAGAGTATCATGTCATCTGCAAATAATGACAATTTGACTTCTTCATTTCCTATCTTTATTCCTTTTATTTCTTTCTCTTGCCAAATTACCATGGCTAATGTTTCCAGAACTAATTGAACAAGAGTGGTGATAGTGGACATCCTTGTCTTGTTCCTGATTT